TGCATCTTTAAAAAATATAAGAAATTGCCACACCTATTATATCACATGTGTCTGCACTGTGTAAAAATTTCATGAATTGGTCACACCCCGAGTGTTCATAACTATTTCATGCAACGCCAAAATCGTAGAGGGATTACTTCGATTTCATTGCCGTCCGTGAGGGGGAGGACCTCACACCGGAGCCGCGTATTGCCTCTTTATACGTGCCACCACACCTTAAGACATGTATGAAGACCCGGCGCGATGCTCTGGTGGCATTGCTACCCCCGAAGGTTTTTTTTCTCAAAATATACAAAAAAATCAAAACAAAATGGTGTTTTGTGTAAATTTGAAGAAAACATGATTTAAGTTAGTTCAAATTTGAAACATAGTATAGCAACATAATCCTTTTAAGATTCTGATAAAAAAAACCATATAAAATTTGTCAAAATCGATCCAAGTATCAATTACTTATGCTTTTAACAAAGTATAAGGACATATATGCAAAAGTACACGAGGTCACATTTCTAACATACTCAAAAATAAAAACAAACTGGATATTCATAGTCTATGGAAAATTCTACCCCAAGTCGACGTATAATTTGTGTATGTTTAAGTTCAGATAAGTTAGATTTAAATTATTCAAATTTTAACTTTTAAAAAATAAAAATAATTTAAAATAAAAAACAGATGATATCTATGCCTACGTAGGCATAGTTCTCGGGGCTACCAGGAGGTGCCACGTGGCAGGGCTATGCCTACGGCCTTGCCGTAGGCATAGATGGATAACTATGCCTACGGTTTTGCCGTCGGCATAGCTCTGCCACGTGGCAGCTCCTAAGAAAAAACCAAATGATATTTATGCCGACGGCCGCCGTCAGGGCCGTCGGCATAGATTTGACGGCGTTAGCCCGCCGTCTGCCCCCGAGCCACCAGGGCCACATCTATGCCGACGACCTAACTATGCCTACGGCTGCCATAGGCATAGATCGATGTATGCCGACGGCCTTACTATGCCTACGGCTGTCGTAGGCATAGATGAAGCTATGCCGACGGCTTTTCTATGCCAACGGTATTCACCAGGCCGTCGGCATAGATATGGCTGTAGGCAAATAAGGTTATTCCGGTAGTGCGTCCCCTGGTTTTTGTTTGTGCTAGATCCGTATCCTCCATATATATACTCCCTCCGTTCGGAATTACTTGTCTCGGAAATGGATGTATCTAGAACTAAAATATGTCTAGATACATCCATTTCTGCGACAAGTAATTCCGAACAGAGGGAGTAGATCTAATCAGGGGATTCCTTTTTCTTCGACGCATTTTTTTTAGTTGCTAACTAGTAGTAATGGAGAACAAAGTCTCTTTCAGACTTTTCAGATCGAGTCTCTTTCAGACATCATCAGATAGATATATGCTACTAATTTTTTCACATAGATTCTTTCTTTTGTTGTTGCTAGAATTGAGAGAAAAAGTCCGTCCGTCTCTTTCAGATTTTTTAGATTAACTTCAAACTTCAGATAGATACACTAATTTTTTTTCTGCAATTGCTATTTCTTCAGTTACCCAAAAGTTAAAGTATTGGTTTCAGTCAACCTTTTGAACCTGGTTATTTTCCAGGCAACTGAATAATAGCAGGTCCCAGTTTTCTCCTTATTTGCACATACGGCTAATGAACAACACTAATTATGCATGATTCAGGAGAATAACACCTAACTTCCACAACCGAGATGGCGGATGGCGGCCAAGACAACGAACTTGCTGCTCTCGAGAAAGTCTTGCTCGACAAAAGTGCGGATCCTGTCGATCTGCCTTTCTCGCTTCTCAAGGCAATCACAGGAAACTTCTCTGAAGATAATAAAATTGGCAGAGGCGGATTCGGAGCGGTTTACAAGGTAGGCAACCAGACCTTCTGCTCTGAAATTAATTAACCGGAGACAATCTAGCTAGCTGTCACGATTCTGTGTGAGATGCAGGGCGTCCTTCCAAGTGGTCATACCATTGCAGTGAAGAAGCTCTTTGAGCAATTCGAGATACTGGACAAGAATTTCGCATGTGAGATCGCCTGCCTTGTTGGGGTCAAGCACAAGAACACGGTGCGATTCCTCGGATATTGCTCCGAGACGCAACACGTGATGAGGCTGTATGAGGGGAGGAGTGTCTGGGCAGACGTGCGCCAGAGGTTGCTCTGCTTCGAGTACCTACCCAAAGGGTGCCTTGCTGACTATCTCTCCGGTAAACTCAGATTAGCCTTATAGCCTTCCTTGCATTTCTACTATACAGTAGTAGTAAATGTCTACCAACTACAGTCCACATTATTTGTTGGTTGCCACACTTCTGAGCTTTGTTAATTCTTTTTGCACACTAAATGGTAGTTTTCAGCTCTTTTCTTATACCGCTGCAAAACATGCACTCTTCTGTTTGGACATATTTTGAATTCATCCTCTTTGCTCTTTGCCTCAGAGAGAGGAGCTCACTGACAAATATCTTTTTCTGTTGTGGATAGAGCTTAATCGAGCGACCAAACGAAAATTCAGAGCATCACAATTTTCCAAGCCAAATATGTTGTCAAGCCCACATATTTGCGCCTGAATTTTGAAATGAAGTGGTAGTTATTTTTTTCCTCAATTGTCACAACCACGTTTTGGCAATGTGATATGTGTTTCCAGAACTTCCTTCAAACTTGTTATTATGTTGGCTTTGGAAATCGGGCAATCATTCACGAAGGCCCTTTTTTGTTTCATTGGACTGCTTATCCCATCGCATATAGTACTAACTATTTTCTGTATTGTATACTCTTCACAGATGCATCTTGTCGACTCCAGTGGACCACATGTTACCAAATAATAAAGGGGATCTGTGAGGGCATACATTATCTTCACCAACAGCGTATTATTCACATGGACCTCAACCCTCAGAATGTACTATTGGATAATAACATGGTGCCTAGAATTGCGGATTTCGGTCTATCACGGCGCTTAAGTGGAAGCCAGAGTCGGGCTATTACTGATCACAAGCTTGGGACAATGTAGGCTAGCCATCTATTTGAGAACTTGATGTTTTTATAAGTCATCTACCAACTTTGTTGCATACACTTTGTTCACTAATCGAACAAACTGCGCTAATTTTTATGTAGGGGACATATGGCACCAGAATTCTTGAATAATGGAGAAATCACTTTCAAGACAGACATATATAATTTAGGTGTTATAATCATGAAGATCCTTATGGGACATAAGGAGAGCTCCAGTGTTAAGGAGGTAATTATATTGTATGTGAGGTTTCAACAAAAAAACAAACAATAGACAACATGTTTAGAAAAAACCACAATTTTGTTGGAAAAAAAATGCAACCCGTACATTCAGTGAGATTATCTAATTAACATTAGAATTTGCAAATGACAAGATTTGAATGTTGTCTTCGTAGTGATCTTGGACACCAAAAATAAAATAAAATAAAGATGGTTTTGATTTCTAAAGTCATTACATGCATCGAATGATTAATAACTCTAAATTAATGAAGTGAGAAATTCAAATTTGTTTGTGATAGGTATCCTTGCATTTGGTTTCCAGTCCTAAATCAATATGGCTGCATGGTTTTTCTATTCTAAATGCATGACGCCCTTCTTTATAACTAACCATGGTTGTCAAATTGCAGGCAGTTGAAAGCTGGACGGACATGTTTGGGACATCAAATAATCACACATCATTGGAGCAAGTAAAGGCATGTGCCAAGATAGGGATAGAATGTACAAACTATTACCCAGGAAACAGGCCGGCTACATGGTTTATCATCCGTGGAATACTTGGTGACACGGAAATTTCAAATTGGTCTGTTACAAGTGATGTAGGTAACTCAACAGAAGGGCAGGTACAATCACTCAATAGTAAATGTATATGATCTACCAGTAATTATTCAGTATTGTGACATGGCCATTTTTTCATTCTTGTTGCAGATAAGCATTGCCTCCAAGCTGGCGGATGAGTTGAAATTAATGGATGGTTCTACTGCTGCACCATCCAAACTTCCACCATCAACGTTGGAGGTGGAGCAGGACGATGGCAAATTGAGCCAGGAGAGGAAGACATCAAACGTGAGTGTGGCGACTAGGGTGATGAGCATCCCCGATGGCAAGCTTACCATGTTCATGGGCAAGGAGTACAATAAGTGTTTTTAGTGATTTCTCATAACCATGTTTTCAATTTTCTTGCAGATAAGCTTCTCCAAGCTGGTGGATGACCTAAAATTGATGGATGATTATGTTGCACCATTCCAACTGCAACCATCATCGGATCAGGAGGATGGCAAAGTGAGCCAACAGAAGAAGGGGAGGGCATCAACCATGAGTGTGGCGACCGGGGTGATGAGCACCCTTAGTGGCAAGCTTACCACGCTCGTCTACGATGAGTACAATAAGCACAAAGAGGTTAGGATGCAGGCGTCCTTCCTCAAGAAGGAGTTGAGCGCCATAAACGCTGCTGTTCAGAAGTCAGAGCTCATGGATGAGCTTGCTCCATGGGAAAAAAATTGGAGGGATGATCTCAGGGATATTTCCTATGACATAGAGAATTGCATTGATGATTTCATCCGCCAATTCGGGGATGAGAATGTTGAGTTATGCCTTTCCTGGGAGGCTGTGAACTTCGCAGGAGGTTGTGTGAGCTTCGTCGGATTTCCAACCAGATGGAAGAGCTTAGCACTCTTGCAGATGCTCGACGTGGGAGTTACAAGAGTTCTATGGTTGTGGACGCTCGTCTGCAAGCAGTCTACCAGGAGGAGACCAACCTTGTGGGCATTGAAGGCCCTAGTGAAGAGGTTATCAGTTGGTTAATGAATGCTCAGAAAATACTAAAGGTTGTATCCGTTGTTGGTTTTGGAGGCCTGGGTAAAACTACACTTGCCAAACAGGTGTTTGACAAGATCAAAGGGCATTTTGATTGTGTGGCATTCTTTTTAGTTTCGCAGAGGCCTGATTTGAGAGTGCTTCTCAATCACCTACAATTGGAACTTGGGATAAATGTCTCTTCTCGCGATGGCGGGTTTGAAGACATCATTGAAGAGTTAAGGATGTATCTTGCAAAGAAAAGGTAATTATTAATTGCTGATAGTCACTTGCATTGGCTACAACAACAACAATATTTGAAGTAGCAAGTAATTGTTCACTGCTATTACATATATGATTGTTTTTCCTGTTTGTACGTTTGTGAGATTCAAAATTATAAAAAATATACTAGAGCAGAAATACGTTTCTGAAAAAAATGGTTGAAGTTTTGCGCATTTTTTCCTTCAGTGTAATAAATTGTTAAGGGGGTTGGGAGGCAGGATCAAATACAAGTCTTATTGTAGAAGAATGCTAGGTGGCTAAAAAGAACTGGCATGAACTAGCCAAATGACAATGAATGTTATTTGGTTAGGCATTATTGTTAAGGCTGCATATTATATGATCAAGCTAATTCAGCCATACGAGCAACATATTTGCTTGCATCTTGTCCATTTCAATTTTTTATGCTTATATCTTGAACATAGATCCTGCTACAAGATAACATGTGCAAATATTTCAACAGGTACCTTATTGTAGTTGATGACTTGTGGGATCAATCAGCATGGAAAATTATTAGTTGTGCTTTTCCAGAAAATGGAAATGGGAGTAGAATAATTGTAACCACACGAGTGGAACAGTTGGCTGTCATGGCCTGTCATTATGATCACGAGTGCATTTACAGAATGAAGCCCCTCAGTGATCAGAACTCAAGAATGCTATTCTCCAGAGTATTTGGGTCTGAAGTTGTTTGTCCACCCCATCTTAAAGATTTCTGAAGAAGTGTGGTGGTATGCCGCTCGCAATTGTCACTATAGCTAGCCTACTAGCTACTGAAGTGAGATCAAGGAAACATGGGAGAGCATAAGGAATTCTCTGGGTGCCCAATCCGCCACAAATCCTTCATTGAAAGAGATGAAAACTATATTAAACCTTAGCTACACCCATCTCCCTCTTCATCTCCGGCCATGTTTTCTGTACCTTGGTATGTATTCTGAAGACCACATCATACTACGGGATGATCTGGTTAAACAATGGATAGCCGAAGGCTTAGTCAGCAGTTTGCATGGCCCAGATTTGATGGATGCTGGTAGGAGTTTTTTCAATGAGCTCGTCAACAGAGGCATGATCCAGCCATGCAAAATTATCTATGGAGAGGTGTTGTCTTGCCGAGTAAACGACGTGATGCTTGATTTGATCATAAGCAAGTGTGCAGAAGATAATTTTGTATGTGTGGCATACAATTCTGAGGACATGGCAAGACTGCTGCATCTCTGCAAATACAAGGTTCGCCGATTATCTCTGTGCTCCATGGCTCTTGGTGGAGCAACATATGACACTGCTATTGCTGCTAGGCTGTCACAAATTCGATCATTGCTGTTCAAGAACGCTATACTCCCTCTTTTGTGGTTCAAGTACCTTAGGGTGCTAATCATTTTTAATGACCGGGAGATAGTTGACCTCACCGCTGTTAGCCAATTGTTTCTGCTGAGGTATCTGATGGTTAGAGATTTGGAGATAGAGCTCCCTACTGAACTTGATGGGCTTGTTTACTTGGAGACGCTGGACATAGAAAACTGCAGCCTGGTAAAGAGCATCCCTTCAGATATAGTTCATTTGCCCCGACTGTTCTGTCTGGTTCTTCCAAATTGGACAGAGTTGCCTGAAGGTATCGAGAATATGAAATCGCTGCACACCCTGCGAGGGCTTGACATGAGCTCTTCGGAGTGTTTTATGGGTCTCAGCAAGCTGAACAATCTGAGGGAACTGCATATGTCAGTAGGTCTTCGTTTGGGGTTGCCAAAGTTGTTGCTCTGGCTTGCTCCATTGGAAAGCTCTATAACCTTAAATCTCTGGTCATCTCTGGCGGCAATCATGTTGAGTGTGAGGATAGCTAGATGCTTAGCTCATTATCCAATCCTTTTCAACATATTGAGTGTCTTAAATTGCCTTTCTGGCGGTTATGGAGAGTTCCAAAATGGTTGTGTGGTCTCCATTGCCTGCGCTTCCTCAACCTGTGTGTTGAAGAGGCATCAACTGAGCAGGTTTGTCTGCTTGGAGAGCTTCCCTCTCTCATCAACTTCGAACTCAAAGCATGTGAAATCCCTGATAAAAGAGCTATGTTAGGTACGAGGCTATTCCCAATTCTGGAGTTACTATATTTCCGGTCTGAGAAACACACTACAGCATACCTGGGCTTCGAGGCAGGTGCTATGCCCAATTTACGAAGACTCGCGTTATGTGCGTACCACTGGGGCGGCACTATACTAGTTGGCATGGAGCACTTGTTACACCTCCAGGAGATCCAAGTGTCTGGGGTCCGCGGTAATAAGGATACCAAGGATGCGCTCAAGTATGTTATTCTCAAATAGAGTATTTGGATCTGAAGTTGTTTGTCCACCCCATCCTAAAGACATTGCGGCTGAAATGCCGAAGAAATGTGGTGGTATGCCGCTCGCAATTATCACTATAGCTAGCCTATTAGCTACTCAAGTGAAATCAAGGAAACACTATGATGAAGCTATGTACCTAGGGTAGGGTCATGGACCTGTCCAAACTACCCTCCCCAAGGACATCTCTAGAAGAAATCACCTGTCAATCGACTCAGAAGTGTTCCACTCGACAGACTCGAAGACACTCGACCATGAAGCCAACCACTCGACAGCCAGGAGATCTAAAGTCATTCTGCACGCAAACGGTCGGTTATTGAGTAGCTTTTATGGTCATCATACCACTTTATTTGTGGCGTTACCAGTAACGCCCGATCTTAATGTACCTTAAACCCTAAATAACTGAGGGCTGGGGGGGTCTGGTGAACTCTATATAAGCCACACCCCTCCTCAGTGTAAAGGGTTCGCACTCCTGTAACTCATATACACATAATCTAGTCGACCGCCTCTGGGCTCCGACAGTTGGCGCCCACCTTGGGGCCGGTGTCTTAGCAACTTATTGGAGAAGTTGCGATTTTTCCGATCTCCTTCATCATGGTTTCAGATGGAGTTTTGGTTGAGGGCCGCGAGATCCGTCTCGGTGCGCTCACGTTCATCGCCGACGACTCCGCTTGGCTTTAGGAGGCTCCGCTGGACGTCGACGCGCTCCCTGTCCGTGGGGCGATGCACTTTCGCGTGTGCGTCCGCGGCGTCCTCCTGCGGCAACCGTCGACCCAGTATCGGTCGGTTCCTGTGTCGTCCTTCCTCCCTGTTTCCCGCCGGCGCAAGCGCTCCGGTCGGTCGAGGCTTCAGCGGTGGGTGAGGCACGCGGTGGCTCGCCAGTCGGCCACCCCCAAGTCGCGGTGATCGAGCCTGACGAATCTCTCTACGGCCTGTTCGACCTGTCGACTGGCTCCGCAGATACTGCATCCGAGTGCGACAACAGTGATCTAGCGGCGGAGGTTCTGATGGTCGATGGACCACGCAGTCCTCCCGGATTTCCCCGCACCGACGGAGGCGATGGCGGAGGCGATCCGTCGCTTGCCCACGAAGAGTATCTTCCCGAGCCCCTCACTTCGCTGCAGAGGGAAGAACTTCGCCGCCGGAACATGGATGCGTTGCACACTCCTATCGTTGGAGAAACCCCCCAAGGCTCGTGCCTTAGAGGACGCGCGCTTGGCCAACTTGGCTGAGCGCACTCGACTGGAGAACCTCCAGGGAGCACTTGACGAGCGTGCGCGGCAACGGGTTCCAGAATCCAGTCGACGTCAACTCTTTCCACCACTGACTCAGGTATATCAAACTCCGATTCAGAATTTCGCAGCTGCAGCCC